TTAAAAACTCTCTCACGCATAAATCTCCTTCTAAATATGAGAGACCTGGCAGATGAGAGACCCCCCCTCGCCCCCACGTACACCCCTCCCTGCCTGCCCCAGCCCCGAACGGCAGGGCTCCGTTGGACAGCAACCCCTGCTTATTGGCTCAGAGGAGTCTGAGCTAATGCCCAAGGTGTCGTCGGTAGCTTTGGTGACCGCAGGACGAAGCGGCTTTGCCTTTCCCCGTGTTCAGAGAAGTCAATGTTTGGCCTCCCCAGCCCCGTTTGCACTTGGAGGAGATTCCCAGGGCGAAGCCGAACTCCAGCAGCTCGTCTCACGGCCTCCACGGTCGGCTGCTTCCCTGCATGAGCTGTATTCCCCTGCATGCGTCTGCTGGACTAATGCCCATCAGAGGAGCACATGGGCGCTTAGCAGAGCTGGTCTCCATCTCCACGGCTGTAATAAATATCTGTGCTAGGCAGTCACACACACACGCACGTGCACACAGACACCCAGTGCCAACACACACACACAGACACGCACACAGGCAGTGCCAACACATACACACACGCGCGCACACACCCAGTGCCAACACACACAGACACGCAGTACCAACACAGGCAGTGCTAACACATATACACGCATGCAAACACACACACACACACACACACACACACTCAGTGCCAACACGCACACTCTCAGCAGCAGGTGGGCTGTTTTTTAAAACCCTACTCCTGGGTTCCTTCAGATGCTGCTGTCACCACAGCCTGCCACCCTAACTGGAGGTTAAATGATAGCCGAGCTCAGCAGCACGAGGATGGGACTATAAACAGCTCTGATATTTACACTGGAGCCGCTTCCAGACAAGTTGTTCACAGTCACATCAATTATCCCAAACACACAATCTGCGTCTGGTTTCGGATGCAGCTCCAGCCGCACTGTGAACCAAGAGCAGAACGTGCTGCTGAGACTCTCGCATCTGCCTTCTAGATCCTCCCTGCCAAGCTGGGGAGGAAGTGTGGGCAGCACAAACTCCACGATTCAAATGGATTTTAATAGCTGTTCCCTGGCTTGGAAATGAACAAAAGAACCATTAGACCCAGCCCAATCACCCTCCATGCCCAGCGCTAGCTCCTCAGCCGCTGGCTGCTCTCGGGGGTGTGGGACGGACGGGAGCCCGGCACCAACAGGGCCCAAGCCAGGGGATTTCAGGGGGCATGGACGCGTGCTCGCTTACCTTGAATTCCAGCTCCATGGCAGTGACGCTCTCGCCCGGGGGCACCTGGCTCAGCTTCTGGAGGTGAGCAAAGAGGTTGCGGGCGGGCACTTCGGTGTTGCCACAGGTGGCTGCCTCCAGCAAGGACTCGTGGATGAAGATGTATTGGTCCTCGGTCTGCACCATGTAGTTACGCTGAGATCTCATGCACGTCACGTGGCCATAGATGTCGACCGTCTTCTCATGCTTCATCCTCTCCAGCATGGCGTCGATGACAATGAAGCAGCCCGTCCTGCCCACGCCAGCGCTGCAGGAGCACAGCACGGTGCAGGAGTTAGCACTATGCTGCTGCAGAGCTCAGCCGTCTCTCAGCCCTGCTCCCCCGGCACCCTTTCCCTCCAGGGAGCAGCCAGCAGACACGCCGCGAGGGTTTAAATGTCAGGCGGGGGAGTCAGGAGACCTGGATTCTAATCCCGGCCACGACTCCAAGTCCCTGCACGGCCCTGGGCAAGCCCTTTCCCTCATCTGTGTCTACGCTTCCCCCTCCGCACAACAAGACTCCGGCCAGGGCAGAGAAGGGGGTTGTGCACTTTTGTACTTAATACTCTGCACCTGGGCTCAGAACACACCTGGCTGGCTCGCCGCTGCGTGCGGGAGAGCATTAGCCAATGGCGATCTCTGCTGGGCTCACCCCGCAGGCAGCAGCCATGGGCCCTGACGCAGGAACACAAGGCAGAGATACGGAGCCAGGGCACCTCCTTGCTATCATCCAAGTCAGATCTGTAACTGGGTTTTAATGTGGCGTGTTTGGGTTTTAACTATACCCCCTCTGAAACTGGGCACGAAGGAAGAGCATTAAATACTGTCTCCAAGGCGTTTGCCAGTGAGCAGCGATGGAGTGGTTTGCTCAGTGATAGTCCCCACTCTGCTGGGGGAGATAAATCTCGGGCCAGAGAAGATGCTGATTCTTAGTGGACTAATAGTTCCAGCAAATACAGCCCTTCTCACCCCTCCCGGAGAGCAACAATAAATGCCCTGTGCGGGGGCATGTGCATCCGTGCGTGGAATCCCCTGGCCGGGCAGCTCTGAGCATGCTGTAATTCTCAACGGTGTTTGCTGCTGCTCAGAGAACTGTGGCTTCTGCACCTCTCTGATCAGAACTGCAAAGCGCTGTTTCATCTGACAGTGGCGCCACACTGCAAACTCCACCAGTAGCAAAGACGCTGACCTGGGGGGTCCTCAGGGGAGGCACTCCCATCACCCCGGCCCAGGCTGCCGCGAGAGGCACGTTCCCATTAAGCAGGAATAAGCCAAACCTGTTCTATTACAGCAGCTCAAGGGTCACGTGACCCCTGCAGCCTTTAAAACACAGCAGCTCCTCCCGCAACGACTCTTACCTGCAATGGACAACCATGGGCCCAGCGTCAAGGGGGTTACAGGCTTTCACCCGGCGCAGGAAAGCGAGGATGGGGGTGGGGTACTCCGGCACCCCATGGTCCGGCCACGCCATGAACTGGAACTGGCGTAACTCTCGCTTCTCGCTGGAGCCGTTCTGCCAAGGAGCCCAAAGAGACGTGCCGGGGCTGAGAACGAGCCGGGCTCTGGGGGACTCAGCCGTGTGCGTCACCGTGGGCGTTCAACACCCGCACAAACGGGCACACGCGTCTCAGAGGGCCAAATACCCCCTCTTGTGAGCCCCTCTCAGCACCGGGACCCCAGCCACGCCCCTGAGCCCGGGGAAGGAGGCAGGAGGGCGGCCCCCTGAGCACAGACAGCTGATCTGGGGAAAGCGCCGTGTGCACTGTATGGATCTGGATCAGACTGAAGAGAAGGATGGGCCAGGTGGGTAAACTGAGACCCAAAGGAACGAGAAGGGGGGGACCTTCCCTGTTCTAATCACTCCACTGATGCCTGGTGCCTTGAGGACGGTTAAGCATGGGGACAGTGGGAGCTGGAGGCTCGCGGGTGGGGTAATCTGGCCTGCGATGGACCAGGCACACACGCAGTTCCCTGTGGAGCCAGCTGGGCAGCCAAAGGTGGCCCATCTCCTAGAGAGCAACCTCCCTGCCCGGGGGAGTGAGCAAGTCCCCTTTGTAGCAGTGCCGTCAGCCTCTGCACGGGGACCCTCCACCTGCTGGGTGCCGGGTCCCTGCAGGAGCCAGACTCAGCCTGGCGCTGCGGGCGCTTCGCTGCTGTGTGCTGAGCGCGGGGGTTTCCGCGGGCATGGCTAAGGAATGCAGCAGGCTGGAGAGGAGCAGCTGGCGTGGCGAGAAGCACAGGGCTAGCACACCCCATGGTGTCCAGGCCAAAATCCTGTGTAGGCTGGGCGTGAGCTCTGTGGGCGCGATCCGGTCACTGCCCAAACAGCCCAGCGGTGTGATCAGCCAGGGGCTGCGCGTGGGCCTCTGTGGGGCTGGCTATCCCCAGGGCCAGGCGTGCAGGGCACAGCCACAGCCCACCCATTACCTTGTAGAGTGCAAACGTCCGGACCGTGTAGGTAGCCAGCTCGACGGTGTCCAGCAGGGTCACCTGAATCAGCCCGTAGGTCTCTGTGCCCCGGCCTGGCCAGTACTGGTCACACTTCACCTGCAGCATGACAGAAAAGGGTGGGTCACGGCTTGGCCAGGGCTCTTGCAGGAGGCCCGGGTCGGGGCTGAACAGCCCTCCCTGAATGTAACATGCAGTTTGCGGTGTGGGGAACCCAAAGCGCCCTGAGACGCGCTGTCCTGGGCCCCTCCACTGCAGCTCTGAATCCTCGCAGCGCCAGCACGCGCTCCCCTGGGCCCTCATTCAAAGGGGTTTGCTTTGGGAAGAGCTCGCTGGTGCAGGAACGATCGGGGTGGCCAGGTGGCTGGGGCACAGAATGCAGGGACAGCAGCGAGGAAGCTGACGAGTGCAGAGAAGAGGCACTGATGCAAAAAGCAATTTCTCTCCCCTATAATTTCCTGTTCTCTACCTGCTCTTTGGGAAGATTGGGGTCTGCAGAGGAGCACACTCGCTGCCTCCCCATCTGCGGGCACCTGCCCAGAACCTATAATCCTCTGCTCCACACCCCGCTGTGGCACTGGCATGATCGGGGGCCGCCAGCCCTGCCCCACGGGGATGCTGCGGGCGCGGAGCTGGGCCCCGCAGGGCATCACTAACTTGGGTTTGGAAGCAAATTTCTGTGCTAACCAGCGAAGTGTCAGGAGGTGAGGAGAGAGACCGGAGAGTCTGCCCTTGAAAGGGCGGCGGGGGTGAGACAGAGACACAGTCAGTGACCCAGCAATCTGTAGCCAGCCCAGGGGCCTTCTCCCCCACGCTGGGAGGGAAGAAACAGGAGCCTCCTGTGGCTCTGAGGCCAGACTCGGGATGAGCGCACAGCCCTCCAGCAGCTCCGCAGCCTGCTCCCTCAGGTGCCCCCACGCAGCATCGCTGGCCCCACCTTTGGTAGGTGGCGAGGCCCCGTGGGAGTGACAGGTCCCAGCATGCAGTGCTCTACGCCCGGCTACTGTGCGTGCTAGGCCTGGTGCTCTCTGCACTGCAGGGAAGGCTGCCACGGGCACCAGGCCGGGAGCAGCCCATGGGGGGCTCGTAGGGGGCCCAGACAACCCTCGGTTTGGCACTCGGTCCCTTCGAATCGGCCTCGCCCCTCTCCAGTGTGGGGGCCTCAAAGGCCACCCTGCCGCAGACGCAGACTCCCGCTCAAACCCCGCAGCCGGAGCACGTTTCCCCCTGCGACTGCCACGAGGAGAGATGGGGCACATCCTGGGAAAGCTGCAATCAGCCTAGAGCCCAGCCTCCTCCTCCACAGCCCTAGCACGGCCGAACATCGGCCTCTGTCCATGGCCCTCACGGCCCCAGCCACCGCGCGGCTCCTCGGCCTGTGCTCGCGGCCCTTTCATCGCGCGGCTCCTCGGCCTGTGCTCGCGGCCCTGCCACCGCGCGGCTCCTCGGCCTGCCACCGCGCGGCTCCTCGGCCTGTGCTCACGGCCCTGCCACCACGCGGCTCCTCGGCCTGTGCTAGCGGCTCCTCGGTCTCAGAGACACCTCGGGGGGCTGAGTGCTGCTTCCCACAGGCTATGCTATGGCCCAGCACAGCACAGCAGGGCCTGCCCGAGTCTTGGGGCCACCTACGCACAGAGCGCCACAGTTTCTCTTCTGACCCCTCAATCCTCCTGTCTGAGCTGTGTCTCCTCCTCCCTGAAATGCAATGGCAGGTCCTACGGGTGGCCTATTGGTTAGTCTGCCTCTTGGCTCCCCTCCCCCCCATCTCACCTGCCCGGGGCACTCACTCCCCTCCCCACATCTCACCTGCCCGGGGCGTCCGCTCCCCTCCCCCCCGCACTTGGCTATTCAAATGGTTTGGTTTTTAGAAGCTGCCTCCTGTTCTTGATTGTCTCCAAACCTTGGCTCCTATTAATTCTGCACACGACTCCAACGCCCAGCCGAGCCCAGCCGCCGAGCCCAGCCGAGCCAGCTGCCTGGCCGCCAACAGGAACTTCATTCCCACCCCTGGGAGCTGCCTGGGACCCGGATGCCCGCCCTAGGAGAGGGGAATGAATGGGAGCTCACCGGGGCTTGTCTTACGTAATCATTAGCTGCGTGCTCACAAGGGGGACAGGAGGAGTTAGAATCAATGGAACGGCACCATACGCTGAGTGAGCTTTGGGACAGGCGAAAGGACAGCGGGATGGCACCGGGGATGTGGCCATCCTGCCTCTTGCAGTTCAACTGAGCCGCTTCTGTCTCTGGCGAGGTCCTGGCACTGGGGCTTGTCGCTGCCCTGATCTCCCCCAAGCCTGCACTGCCCCCGAAAAGAAGATGAAGCAGGGGCTGCATGCCTAGAGGGTGGGAGCTGAGATTCCAGCCTCTCTCAGGATGCCCCGGTGTAGAGTGCAGAGACCCGGGCTGCACGTACATCTGAGTGTGCGAATCTCTGTCCCTCGCTGGGCATGGAGCAGATCCCCCCACAGAGTGTGCGGAGAGACCCGGGCTGCACGTACATCTGAGTGTGCGAATCTCTCTCCCTCGCTGGGCACGGAGCACATCCCCGGTGGAGAGTGTGCAGAGAGACCCAGGCTGCACGGACATCTGAGTGTGCGAATCTCTCTCCCTCGCTGGGCATGGAGCAGATCCCCCCACAGAGTGTGCGGAGAGACCTGGGCTGCACGTACATCTGAGTGTGCGAATCTCTCTCCCTCGCTGGGCACGGAGCACATCCCCGGTGGAGAGTGTGCGGAGAGACCCGGGCTGCGCGTACATCTGAGCGTGTGTATCTCCCCATCGCTGGGCATGGAGCAGAACGTTGTTTTATGGTGACTGGCTGCAGAACGAACGCTGAGGTCACGGCTAAACTGATCCAATCCTTGCGGATCAGTGGCAGCTGCAGCCAGCCCAGAGCCACTCCTGGCTCCAGGAGGAAGCAAACCCTGGCTAATCTGAGCCAGATTCTCAGTGTCTCTAGAGTGTAAAGGTCACGGCCAGAGATCTGCTGCCCGCCCTCCCCACCGGCCTGCGGTCTCTCTCTCAGCCTCGTGAGACAGCCTCTCTTCCCCGACACGTGGGAACCACAGAGCTGGCATTGCACAAACACAAACCCAACTTTCGAAGCATCCTGTGTCAGGCTCCTAGCAGCGCTGGGGCTGGTAATTGAAAATTATTTATTCATGACCAGATAAGAGTCAGTCACATTTTCTGCCAAATTTACCCATAATGTTTATGCCCCATTTTCAAGCTCTGTAAATTTTATGCGGAAGCCGATGCGCTGTGGCACTAAAGCCGATAAGAGACGGTTTCTTCTGGCAGCGCTCGCTTCTCATTAAGGCGAGGAACACACTAATGTCCTGAACAGACATTTACTGCCAGCTTTGCTGAGTGGCCCCTCCTGCCTCGGGGAGCCCAACGGCCACGTCTGCTCGCAGAGCAAGGGTTGCTGGTGAGCAGTGCATCGGGCCTCATCTCCCCTCCCTGCTCCGGTGCCACTGTCGGCAAAGTGGGAGGGGGAGCCGCACAGCAGGCGTGGCCTCCGGGGTGGGCTCTCCGGCAGGAGCCAGCGCTGACACCTTCCCACAGTCGGTGGGAAGCGCCAGGGCTCAGCACCCTGGGAAAGCGAAGTGTTTCTAACCACCACCAAACGATTCGGAAACTGACTGTAAAGCTTTGAAGGCAGTTAAATTGCCCGAGCCAGACGCTTCGGTCCTTTATGCGGCTCTCGCTTTGTGCGAACATGAAAAGGGAGGATGATTTGGACCATCAAGCAGGCTCAGATTGCCGACATAAAAGCTGATGTTCTTTAAAGATTTTTTTCTGCAGCTTGTGCCCCCCTTCCCAGAGCCCAGGAGCCCTTTAAAGCACTGTCACCCTGCAGGGCTGCGAAGCTGCGGCTGGCCTCGGGTCAGCTTATCTCCACCCAGCATTACTGGCAGGACGTGCGGCTCTCGGCTCAGAAATCAGGCAGAGCCCGCTCCGCATCACGCGCCGGCTCCACAGCCTCCGAGCCTGGCCCGCAGGCTACACAGCTGTAGCTGCATTCTTGTGCTGAGCCGCCGGCCAATGGGGCGCTCGAGAAGGGGGCCAGCTGGAAAAGGCTTTTCCAGGATAAACCCCTGACATTGCCGCGTCTGGCCTGGTGTGACATCAAGAGGCAATGGTGGTGTCGGGTCCAGAGCACTTTGTGATGCATTAAACTAGGCTTGTGGCACAAGGACTGGCCCCAGCAAAACTGGGGCTGTCCCACAGAAATCCGGGGGGGGGGGGGCCGCAAGCCTCCTCCCGGGCCACATGCTGGTGGCTGACCAAAGTTCAGGGACACAGTGGTTAGCGGTGCCTAGCAAAGGGAACCAGCTGGGTGAGGCTGTCCAGGCTCCCAGCGGAGTCCAGGAAGAGTTCCAGGCAAGCACTAAACCCCCAGAGTCTGTTTCTGAAGGCAATGGGGCAGGACGGGGAGAGCGAGACGGAGATGACAAGGGAAGAGGCTGAATGGGAGCGACTGAATTCCAAATCGCGGGGGACGGGAGGTCTCTCGCCAGGGAACACTGGGAAAGGAAATGCAATCCAGAGAATCTTCATGGAAAAGCAATTCCTCGACCCCCATCCCGCCGCCAGCCTCCCCGTGCCCTCCCACTCCCTCCCGCATGCCCTGTTCCCTTCTCTCCCAGAGATGCCGGGTCAGCAGGGAAGTACCAGGCCTCCTGTCCAGCACAGGGCTGCAGTAGGGTACTCACAGTACCGCTGTGGGTAACCGGTTTCAGGCCGACCCCAATACTTTCCCCACTTCCTCCTCGGATTCTGTCTCTCTGGGCAGGGCCGCCTGCTGGGGATGATGGGAAGGGCTGTCTCTGGCTGGCCTCTCGCGGTGTGAGGGGCACGGCGGCATGGACGGCGCCTGGGGCTCCCCGCTCATTTTGTCCCTGCTCTAGTGGCTGACGTTGCACATGCCCAGCCCAGGGCCTGCCCCGTGCACTGCCTCCAGGCCAGTGTGTGTGTTAGGGGGAGATAATGCACGTCTCAGTAGCAGGGAAGCAGGAGGCAGACAGGTGCCGGCAGGGTCCAGAGACACCCGTTATCATAGAGAAGCATGCACCCTGCAGTGGCGTGTGATAAGTAGCCAGCCTACAAGTGACGTGACAGTGATTTATTTGGCTTTTTCTCACACCTCAAAGGTAAATTTTAAAAAAAAAAGTTTAAAGGGCCACTCAGGTGTTTTTAGCCACTGGCCCCTGCTCACAGGGGCCCTTAGCCACTGCAGGTCCTTCTCCTCTCAGGAGGCACCTCTGCCCATTCAGCAAGCGCTGGAGCCGGACCACAAACCCCAGGGCTCCATTTTGTTTGCTTCCCTCGGTGTGCGCAGTCCTGGGGGGCTCAGCCAGTGTCCGGCAGAGCGTTGGGGCAGGTGCTGTAGGGCCAGCAGGGGACACAAAGCTGCACCCGTGTGCGCGTCTGTCTCTAGCGAGGGACTGGCCATTGCCCGGGGAGGAGCTGGCCTGATCTCAGCAGCTGGGGGGAAGCCTGAAGCCAGGCCTGCTTGGGCCCCGGGGGAAAATAAGTTTGTTTGGCAGCCTCTGGGCCCCTCCCTGTGAGGCGCTCCCACCCCAGCCGTGTCGTGCGCAGGGGCTTCCCACCCCACCGTCGGGACGGGGAGAGCGCTACAGAACTTGGCTTTCAGCTGAGCCCAAAGCCCCGTCTCTCCCCTCCTGCAGCCCCAGCTCACAGCCTGAGCACTGGCCCGCTGCCTGCGGTTGGCGTGGCAACGGTGAAATACTGGGAGAAAACGAAGTCAGGAGAGAGATGGTCAGGGCGGCCACAAACCCATCTCCAAAGGAGGCCCCTGTTCCTTCCTTCCCGGCTCCGCAGGGGCTGTACAGTGCAGCCTCAGGAGCCGAGCCCGGCGAGATGGGATCATCCCTGCAGCTCTCTGGCGTCGGCCCGGGGACAGATCAGCCTGGTCATTGCAAGGAGATTCCACCAGCCACTCCGCAGTGCGGGGACGCCGCGGCCCTAGCAGGCTGCCCAACGCTTAAAACGCTCCTTACCAGCCTCACCCCCCTGCTTCTGCGGGGACACAGCGCCCCAACACTCCTATTGCAGAGCTTCGCATTGGAGCGGGTGCGTGCACGTGTGGGTGGGGGTGGCACCTGAGTGTGGAGAGGGAGGGCGGAGGCTAGTGGGGGAGGGGGGTGGGGGGGGGGGGGGGGGGGGGGGAGCTAGCGCGTGCGTGGCGGGGAGGGTTTTACTCAGAGAAGCTTGTTCCCACCCTGCGCCTGCAACAGTGACCCGTGTTTCACTGGGGTCAGAACCGTCCCGCCCCGAGCTCCCCATACCCTGGATTTCTCCTCCAGCCGGGTCATCATGACTATGGTCGCTGTCCTCTGCTCCCACACCATCCTCCAGAAGTCGCTGAGCGTCTCTGGCAGGGGCCCCTGGGTAGCGATGTACGCATTCTGCTTCCGGTACCCATCGATGTAGTTCGCGTTGATGTAGTCACTGCCGGGCACCCCTGCGGAGACCAAGGGAGCCGGGTTACCCGGGGAGCCGGGCTGACTGCAAGGCGCCTGACGAACCTGCGAGGCGCTGAGCCAGTCCCTCCCCGCAGGGAGAGCTGGCGAGGGCTGTGCGTTACTGGAGCCATCTAACTAACACGTTACTGGAGCAATCAGGCCACATGGAAGCAGAGACAGCTGCCACCTCGCACACAAAGGGAAGTTCACAGGCAGCACGTACAGCCCCAGGCAACAGATTTAAAGAATTGTCTCACGTTGGCCGGCTGTTTGCTGCGGCCTTGCAGCACTTCGGGACAGGTTTTGTTGCTCTGTTACTTTCACGCTCTCCCGGGTCTGTTTGCAAAGGGGAACATGCGAAAAACTTCCCGTCCTCTGGCCTCCGCAGGCTGCCCTCCTCATGCAGCGCCCCCCCGCCCACCCCCCCAGCTCCCCCTCCTCTGGCCTCCGCACGCTGCCCCCTGCATGCAGTGCCCCTCACCCCACATGTAAAGCTTGCCCTCCTCTAGGTTCCGTGGGCTGCCCCCCAGCACATAGTGCCCCCCCATGTAAAGCACCCCCCCACGTGCAGGTGTCCCGCCCCGCATGCCCCTCCAGTGTCAAGCTCTTGCCCGGAAATGCCTTTAAAACACAAACCCGCAGTTACTAAGACAAACGTGACGCCGTTCTGCCGGAGCTGAATGTGAGCACCTGGCTTTGTGGGGGCTGCAGCCGCCCTCAGCACCAGCAGCAGGTCTAGGACCCGGAGGGATCCCCGTGGTCCCCAGGAGGGCGTGCTCTCATTTTCCCTTAAAGGAGGCTGGGGATCAGTTCCACCCCCCACGGGGCTCCGCAGAATCTCCTGCTGATTCCCAGCAGCCGCAAGCGGAATCAGTGGAAGAGACGCCAGGGGCCGGGGAAGGAGAAGCTCCCTGGCCGTAACCCAGTCTGGAGCCTGGAGACCAGATCAGCCGGAGTTCTGTGCTGGCTGCCCGTTGGCCCAGCCGCACTAACACATGTGGGCCTCTTCTCCCTGGCTGCCGCCTCGTGCCGTGAAGGAGAGGGAGCTGGCAGGGCACGTTGGGAATGGCTCAGTCACAGAACCTGCTTACCGGACCAGGGTTGCTCCAAGAAAGCGGGTTCTCAGTGCAGCGCTCAGCCCTTCGGTATAGGGGAGCCCCACACTGCTACAGGGAAAGAGGCTGACCCTCCTGCCAAGGAAGAGCAGCCCGTTGGCGTTACAAAGCTGTTCCTTCTTGGGATGAAGAGAGACCAGGCTGCATCCCAAGCAAGCTCCAGCCTCAACACCCAATGGGGCCGCATTTCACTAGCTGGGCTCCCCTCACGCGTTCAGCCAGCAGCCAGCCACATGCTCCGGTGCCGGAGCGTTTCTATGTGTGCGACAGACAGGAGTGGGCGGGTGTTGTAATACAGCGCGCTGTGTCCAGGGACTGGAAAGCAAACATTAGCGCAGGTCAGAAAGGTCAGCAGCCTCCTATGCACAGAGCGGGAGGTGGATGGGTCAGCGTTTGGTCTCGCCGGGCGATACACACTCAGCACTCAGGCACTTGCCTCTCAACGCTGGGCCTTGCAGCAGGGGCAGAAATGCAGCACACCCTTCCTGGCTAGCCGGAGCCACCGCTTGGGCACCCAAACCGAGATGGGCCAAAACCTTGCGGAGTCCTGCCCTGGCCCCTGGACCGGGATGGACTAGATGGGGCCTAGCAGCACTTTCTAACCTCTGTGATTTGCCGCCTTGAGCTAACCTGCTGTTCCGGGTCCCTAGACACCGGGCACAGAGCAGGACACCTGGCCAGTTGGGCGCGCGGCTGAAAGAGGGGCTGAGAGGGGTGTGCTGCCCGTTCTGCCCAGCAGGCAGCAGCAACAGAACTGCACCCAGGGAAGGCTCGCATTGAGGCTCCCGGGGGGTGGGGGTCAGGTCACGGGCTGCCTGCTCCACTCCCACATAGGGGCAGGCGCAGCCCCTTGGCGGCGGGTGCGGGCTCACTATGGGCGGAGCTGTGACAACGAGCTCCTGTCTCCAGGGCTGACAAGCCAGCTCCGCTCCCCCGACCAGCCATGGGGCTTGGAGCTCATGCGGCTGAGGCTCCGGAGGTCCCAGGTATGATCCTGCCCGAAGATGACTGGGGTCTGGTGCCGTTACACCAAGGCTGAGAGAGCTGGGCCTGGGCGAGGCAGGAGGGCAGCTGTCGCACCGCTGGGGAAGGGGCCAGCAGAATTCTGCTGCTGTTTCTTATCCTTCGGCCTGAAAGATACATTTGCAGGGTCTGGAGCCAAAGTACACTTCTGGGCTGTCTGCAGCCCCTGCCCGGCTGCGAGACCCTCCTTGGGCAGCGTGGGCGCAGCATGGACACGCATCCCGCTCACCTGGCTGTTTGCCCCGCCACACTCGGAGTAACCTTGTTCTGCTGCATGTTACAATGATCCCCCTGGGCGGCTTTTCATGCCACTCCCTCAGACACTGCTTGGAACAGGCCCCGAGCCCCGCGCTTACCATCGACAGAGGTCAGGATGACACGCGAGTGGTCGTAGGCGATCACGTTTGCATAGCGGTTTTTTGGTTTATTCACTTCCAGGTTGGAGTTCTCCCAGGTGAACTGCTGCCCTGGATCGATGGACTGCAGGAGAGAGGACAGGCTGTTACAGCACGCTGGGCCGTCTGGAGGAGACGCACCTTTCCTGGGAGTTGCGGGATTGCCACGCCCCAGCCTGCCACCCAGCCACGCCCGCGGCGGCGCTAGGTCCAGGGCAGCACGGCGTTCTCTGGGCTGGTGCTCAGCTGATGCCCGTCCCAATGCCCTGCCAGGAAGTCAAACCTGCCCTGGAGCAATCTGACAGTCATCGAAACAGCCTCTGGCTGGTGTGATGGGGGGCCTCCTCTTCCCAGCCAATGCTCCCTTGTCCAAGCTGCCCCCCCAGCAGAAACTCCTCTACCTCAATTACTGCCGCAGGGACTGGCTCCTGCTGGGCCGTGCACACGCTTACTGACCCCAGTGGTTGGATCAGTCAGCGAGCTGCAGTCCCTGGAAACAGAGCAGCCTCCGGAGCCGCGTGCGGCCCAGGGGCTTTGGATATTAAAGAACAAGAGTGAACAAGGCTCCTGCTGGGAGAAGTCATGAAACCGGATGGGTCACTAGTTGCTGCGTCAGCTGCTTCCGCAGCGTGAACATCTCTCCTTTCAGTTCATGGCATGAGACCTGGGGACAGGGCCATAAACATGTGTAGGGCCCATGTGCTAGGGACTGGCTGGGAAACAAACACGCGACTCACCTGCGTCCCTGACAAAGGATCCCCCCCACGTACTCAACAGACTCTGCTGGGGGCCAGCTGGGCCCCTGTGACGCACCTGACATGGCTGGTGGGACCCGCCCAAGTACTGAACGCAGCCCCTCTGCTGTGGGGCTGAAACCTCCTGCCCGGCATAACCGCCACACCCCTCCGGGACCCTTCCCCACGTATACCTGCCGTGACCCATCCAGGACCCCCGCACGTACCCCCCACAGCCCCTCCGGGACCCCCGCACGTACCCACCACAGCCCGTCTGGGACCCTTCCCCCCATATACCTGCCGTGACCCATCCAGGACCCCCGCACGTACCCACCACAGCCCCTCCGGGACCCTTCCCCCCGTATACCTGCCGTGACCCATCCAGGACCCCCGCACATATCCACCACAGCCCCTCCAGGACCCTTCCCCCCGTATACCTGCCGTGACCCATCCCAAATCCTGTGCCACCCCGCACTCAACACAGTCCATCCTGGACACACACACTGCGTACCCGACATGGCCCATCCACCACAGGGCTGCCTGGCCACCATATTCCCAAAATGCATCATCCTGGTAGTCACATTTCTCACATGCAGAACAGAAGAGAATATGAAGGCCTGTCCCAAACATGTCCCTCTGAGCTGGGAGGGACACTCCTCATCAAAGCCTTCCTCATTCCCACACCTGGTCTGGGTGCACACACAAAGGCAGCTATTGTCATGCCATGAAACGCTGGGAGCTGCATGACCAGCCTCATCAGCGCCTTCTCAAAACCAGGCCCTAGCTCAACCACAAGATATGGGCTGGCTGCAGGAATCGTTACGGCCTGGGTGATGTAGGAGGCAGGCAGATGAACGTAACGGTCCTAACCCCTGTGAAAGCCTCGAAGGGGCGTCAGGCTGGAGACTAGCTACTTCTGTTGCTCACCCAGGGAAACACCCAAAGTGCAAACGCCAGCCCACGTGATTACTCGCTGCACCGCCCCTTCTGGTGTTTGCTGCAGCCGCCCTTCGATCAATAGCACGGTTAAGGTCACCACGAGCCTGCTCTATCGGCACCTAAATAAAGGACAGCCCGGTCTGATGCGGGGCCTTGGCATCCTGTAGAGGGGCTGCCCTGAGGCCGTCACCAGCACAGGCCCTTCCGCAGCTCTCAGAATGAACAGGGACCTGCGCCATGCTCGCCGTTTGCACAGCGCACGTCACTCCCGCCCAGGGGTGCTGGTGGCAGCGCTCTCCCCCCCGCAGGGCCTGGCAGGGAGAGGTGGCATCACAGCGGAGCTGATACGGGGGTTGGGCAATGCAGAATGTAAACAGATGTTTCCGACAGAAACCCTGTAATCTTCTATTATCAGAGTACTAAGCAGCGGCGGTGGCGGCATGCGGGACACTGTGGCTGGGTGGGGGAGCAGAGGACGCCAGCACCGGCTGCTGGCTGAACGTTTAGCCGGGTATCCACTGGGGGTCTGTGAGGCTCCCTGCACACACATCTCTGCACTAGTCCTGGCCACTGGCTTGTTCCACAGCCCCCGTGTGCGGCTGCTCGTATCTCACACGTTGCACAATAGAGAATTTCGTCACGTTTCCTTTTGAAATGTTCTTCACCCTCTGCTGAAGGCCATGTTACTGAAAGGGCCCCATAGGGCAGAGGAAGAGGAGACGCAGGGCAAGGCAGGGAGTGGGACAGGGCAAGCACTGTTGATAATTGGGACTACAAATTTACCCTGAAGAACTGAGCAAAAATTCATGGAAGGGTCACGATAGCCAGCAACAACGAACGTCAACGGGAAAAGATGGGACAGGGAGACAAAGGCTGAATTAGACTAAACCAAACGGCCTCCTCACAGAACTCAAGCATTGTATTAAGATCATGCCTGGTAGCAAGACCAGCAAGAAAGTAGAATCCGTGAACCAAAATTGGTGCGTCAGAAACTAGGCTTAATTGGTGGACAAAATACAGAGAGGACGAGCCAGTCCACCCATCCCTGCCTTCGGCAGTCCTTAGCGAAAGGGACTTCAGGGGAGAAAAACTGGCTACTAGAATGAGATTCACCATCACAGCTGTCACTCCACCATCTCCTGGGACCCTGGGCCTCCTTCATCCTAATCCTGAGCCATGTCCTGGCCAGCCCAGGCCGAAGGGAGGGAGCCGGAGATACAGTCACCTCACTGGCTCCAGCCAAATCCTGAATACTACCTGGGACTGTGTCACCACCCCTCTCCCACCTGTGCCCTTTTACTTGTTCCTCCTAAGAACAGCCTGGCTTAGCCGGCCAAGGCTGCGTATTGTGCAGCACGGCTGTGAGCCTGCAGCCAGCCCGAGGCAGCTAAAAGCAGTGCCCTGAACAGCCCGGTGCCGGCACGAGTTTGCCAGGTCTCGGAGTGGCTGATCCGACCAGCCGTGGGCTGGGCCTGTGTTTCTCCAGCAGGGAGGTGGCAAGTGAGGGACACCCCAGGGACAGAAGCTGCAGCCTCGCTCTCTGCTGCTCTTTTCTCTCCCCCGTCGTGTGTGTTCGTCTGGTTTTGTCGGCTAGGAAACGGGAGCCACCTGCAGCAGCAGCAGCAGCTCCTGCCCGTCTCTTTGCCCCAAAGGCCAGTGATTCCCCTAGAGACTGTCCAGCCGTCTCTAAAACCTCCCTCCAGCTAAACTGGCAGGGACCAAGGGATGCTGTTACAAGGACAGGCTCACTTAGCACTGCCCCCACCCCCGGTCTGTATCGGGAAGGAAAGGGTGAAGGGCTGTCGTGGTGTCGCTGCCGGGGACGGAGCAGGCGGGGATCTCCGGACACCAAACCTCAGCCCTTGTTTAACACCGTTCAGAGCTGGGCAGTGACTGGGTCACGTTCAAACCTCGGACTCTTTGGGCCCCTTTATTCCATCTACATTAATACAGCGGCAAGCAAGGAGCAGGGCCTGGCGGCCAGTGGGGGTGCTGTTCTGGGGCATAGTGGGGCGAGGAGGCCAGACGGAGGGGAGGGCCCAGCATGGGGCAGGGCGGGGTGAGGATGGATCGGGGTCCCTGGGTGACGTTTAATGGCCTGTGTCTACAGGTCAGACTGGGCGATCTGGTCCCTTCGGGCCTGGCACTCTACACACTACGAATTCCCTGGCACTGCCCTTACCACACAGCCAAGAGCGCTGGCGTCAGCCCCTGGCATGTGGGACAATTGCAGACTGACAGGCTCAGGCCTGGTGTGATGTCACCCAAACTCTCCACTGGCGCCACGGGAGGGTCCTGTTCGGGTCTCGGTGTCTCCCTCTCTCGTCCCCAGCTCAATCCCTTGCTCAGCACAGGCAGCACCCCCATTTCCAGACTGCCGGGATCCCACTGGGCTGCTAGCCGGCGAGATGGACGGCTAGCCGGGGACAGGCTAACAGCATTGCTCGGGCGCCAGCAGGGGAATCCTGGCGTGCAACGGCATTACAGCTTCACCACAGCTAACCGAATCGCTTCATCTTGGGGCAGTCCCAGCAGACACACAGAGATCTCCCGGCTTCCTACGCTCACATCAACACAGCTCTGTCCTTCCCGGGCTCACGGCAGAGGGGACAGAACTTCTCGCCTCCCTCCTGGCTCTGCACAGCCACGTCCGCCTTGCAGAGCTGGAACTGTCTGTGCAGGCGAGGCCGGGCGTGCGGGTGCCCCAATGGCAGAGCACAGGGCTGGCAACGCAGCGTTTTCCACCAGGGAGAAGCATCACAAACCCAGCCCCGGGCGAGCACTCACCCCATTGCAGGGGCCGGGGGTCACAAACCTTCGCCC